CAACACATCTAGTACAGAGGCTGAACTTTAAAAACTGCTCTATACAAAAGCAAAAAGAATAACTTTAGGAAGGTCATTCTTTCCATAGGGAGCTCTCAAAGGCCCATTTGAACAATCAGCAACAATTTAAAAATAAGAAAACAAAAATGCACCATTAGGTAAGACATGCAATTTTGATAGTCACGTCAATGCTAATATTATTATTTAACTTTTTATAATTGTAGAATATAATAGATATAGATAATTGCAAAGAGAATTGTCTAGATGAATAAATTACTACAATAAAATATTATAAGGCAAGCACCCTGGTAACCACTGTTTAGATGAAGTAGCCTCCATCTGGGGGCAGGGGAGAGAAATGACCCAAGCACTGTATGCACATATGAATAATAAAAAAATAAAAATTAAAAAAAAAATAAATAAAAATAAAAATCTCATTGGGGTAAAAAAAAAAAAAAAAAAGCCTCCATCTGCCAGGCCCCATTACAGCGCCCTCCCTTCTGCCAAGGAACCACTGGCTTGACTTTGTGGCAATCACTTCCTTGCTTTTCCTTACAGGTTTATGACTCAACCCAAGCATGCACCCTAAATTCTATAGTTGAATGCTGCCTTTTTTTTTTTTGGTACTGGGATTTAAACTTAAGGTTTTGCACTTACTAGGCAGGTACTCTACCACTTGAGCCACACCCCTCAGCCCTTTTTTGCTTTAGTTATTTTTTAGAAAGGGTCTTGCATTTTTGCTCAGGAGTCAGCCTTGGATGGTGATCCTCCTACATACAGTCTCACAATAGCTGGGATTACAGGTGTAAGCCACTGCACCTAGCTTCTGCTATGATTTTTAAGTCTATAGTTTCTTTTTCCATCCAGTTTTTCCATTTTTTTTCTCTTGTAAAAAATGATTTTTGAAGCCAGCAGGGTATGTATACTTATAACCTACAATGTTTCCAATAGCCTAGATTTGGCTAAAGGAAGAAATGCAAATATTATAACTAGTAGGTGTGAATCAAGCCATAAGAAGGGTATCAGGTAGATTTAAATGCAAACACCAGGTCTTCCAAATTCATGAGAGCATTGGAACTTGGTTCCTGTAACAAAAAGTTTTTCCTTTTTTCCCACCACTCCTTAAAAAACAACAAAAAAAGTGTTGACTCAGTTACTTTCAGATAACATGTTTCTTCCTTCTTTCTTGATGCCTTATACATTTATCTTCAAAAATATCTGGTAAAAGGAAAAAAAGCCACAGTGCATGTATAAAGAAGGCAAAAAAAAAAAAATCCTTAAGTATAAACAAAACAAAACAAAAAATAGGGGAAGGTCAAGGGTTCTTAGTCAAGAGATAGAAATAACCAGCAACTTCTACCCTCTTTGATAATTTGAAAATTTTAGTATTTTTTTTTCTTTAGGAGACAGTCCTCTGTAGCTACTGGCAGAGAAGAGATGGATGATAGCAAAGCAAAATCAATAAAAGGGCAATATAAAACTCGCTGTGGTTTTTCTTAAACACAGCAAGACAAGCCAGATTCATTTCTTCTCTCACATGTACTCTGACAACCACATTCTTTTCAAGCCTCTGTCTGTAGCAAAAGCCTTCAGGCATGGAATAAAAATAGTTCTGCTGTTAAATCTACTTACTATAAGATCTTGGGGTAAGTTATTCAACACGTTTCCTTGTGTGAACAGTGAGGATAATATGTATCTTATAGTTGTTGGGGGACTCAAATGAGATAATAGCTATAAAGCGTCACACGGTAAATGCATAACAAATGTCATTCTCTTCATTTTGCCTCTTCCCTTGCCAAGTCAGATCATTTTCCTTTAAATATGTTGCCTTTAAAAAGTCAAGCCACTGAGAATCAGAAGTTCAAATAAAGGACATAAAAATTCTGAATTTTCACCTCACCCTATGCAGAGTAAACCTTTCTAATGATATCCTTGTGAATTTAGTTATTTAGTAATATGCTTACATTTAAAGAACCAGCAACAAAAACCTTCCTTTGCAGTATTTCCTGCTAATCCTCATTTAAATTTCTTTTATTTAATTTGTTTTGATTCTTGCCCTCCCTGCTCCAAAAAACAATGGCTCCTGATTGTCTATAAGATAAAGTCCAGACTTCCTTAGGAATCCCTTTAAGGCAATCCAGGACTACAGCCAAGGCCTCAAACCTTATGTCCACCTCACAGTCAGTCTCCACCTTTCACAACCACCATATAACTGTACTCTACTGATGGAAATGTTCAGAAAGACACCTGCCCAGGTTATGAGGGCTGTTCCAAGGTCCCCAGGTTTTCCCTTTCCTGAATGACCACCTGGGCATTCCTGTCATGAAGTCTTACCCACCTGTAAGTGTCCAACTCAAACACCACTCTCCATAAACATATCTCCAACAGCTTTGGCTGAAAGCCACCTTGCTCTGAATTTCCACAGGGCCTTATACCACTCACATGACACTAACCACAAACTCATGTTTTGGAATCACTTATATCTTTCCAGGCACCCAATAACATCCCTGAAAGGGATGAATATCCACACAGGGCTTTGTACACAGCAGTGGGCCCCCCCCAAAACATCTTAGGAACATTATCCTTTTGTACTGAAAACTTGTGGATCCAACACAAAGAAAACACTCTTGCAAAACTCAGTTGGTCACATCTAAACTTCTACAGCATGGCTCCTTACCAAGTACGGTAGGGCTCTCCAAGATGTCTTCCCCACTGAGCTACTGCTTTCTACTGACTTTGACCCTTCCTTCTCCCAGAGTACTCACTTTTGTGCCTTAGACAACATGGCTTCAAAGTGGCCATTTAAGTATTCACCTGTCCCATGAAATCATTTCAGAGGAGTCTGTCTTTCTTCATGGAGTAAGGTTAATTGATCAGATAAAATGGCAGTCACTCTGAAGGGCACAGAGAGCTGGGCTATTAGCAAACAGACTCTGCAAATATTTCAGATGTGATAAAACTGCTGGAAACCAACAAGTATCACTAAACCCAAGCTAGGAGTCATCAACTTATATCTCAAACTTTGTTTTTCTGGAGCCACCTCCATGTTCAGCCATCTCTATTCAGTTAATGTCAAAAAGGGGAAGTGAAATTCCATTTTTTATTTTTAAGGACCTGGCCAATGCTAGGTGCACTGAATATAATGTTTGTTGAGTGTATTTTAAACATCAATTTTTTCACTTTTGCCTAAAACAAAAGAAATTATCCGGTCAGCAATAAGTGAAAAGATAAAATATCACACTTTTATAAGATGGCCTAACTTTCCACAATAATGGGAAAAGCTGACATAGCCTTATCTGAAACCAGCAAGAGTTTAGAAGCCTCTGGATATGCCCTTTCTAATGTGCACAAATACGCACTGTCAAAGGCAAGTTAAGTCTCGCAAACATTACTTGACTCACATTGATGTCACATGGTAATCTGTGTTTGGGAGAGCCAAGACAAACAATAATTCCAGGAAATGTTAAGGAAAACTAATGACTACAGAGGTTTCCAATGTGAAAACAACGTTTTCCTCTGCTATGGATGATACCTTGTTAGGTCACATCCACTAACTCCCCAGTATCTTTACCAAGAAAGCATGATTCCTTCTTAAAACTTTTATTGGGACTGCTTGGAGTATAAGCAAAGTAGAGCAGATGTGCTGAAAGAAGGTCCCATGAAAAGCGAGTCTTTGTAATTCCTACGGGTAGAAGGAAGGAGAAATGGGATAGGTGTCCAAGTACCTCCCTCCTCCCATCTTATTATCATTTGTGCTAAAACAGAGTGATAAACTTTCCTCTGCTGAAAACTAATAAGGTGGACATGCTTATTTATTCTTCAATCAAATAAATCGTCATCTGAGTTCAGAAACTAACATTCAAGACACTTTTTAGGCATAAGAGGAATCTAGTCCTTTGATTATTGGTTAAAATTCCCCACTTAGACCAATAGCAACAAATATTTTATGATTATATTCTTGTAAAATGAGAAGATCCATGGTTTTGTTAAAGAACAAGAACAAAGTTAAAAGTTATTAAAATAGGAGGAAGCCCAAATCCTGCGTGGAGCTCACTGGCCCTCGACTTGAATGATCATAAATGCTGCTACAGCCAGGGCTGGCCAGAGCTTTTTTTCTTTTCTTTTCTTTTTTTTTTTTTTAATATGTTAGAGCCAGCCAAAAATAAATGGACAGCTCCAATCCCCTTTGATCCTCTTAAATGTATATTTCCAGTGTAAACCAGTATTGTTTAGGCTGACAATGTTTTCCCAATGGGCCAAGGATGAAGAACGAGAGCCGCGCAACTGCAACCTGAGAATATCAGTGTTCCCTGCACGGAAATGGAAGGGCTATGCTGAGACTTTGGGGACACACACAGAGCATCTGCACAGAGCTGGCATTCAGATGTCCTTATTGAATTCCCTGCTTCTGCGATGGGTGTCACTTTTTTTTTTTAACTGTGATTGGATCCTGAGGTGAAAATGAGTGGAGAGAGATTCTTCCTCACTGACCCCCCACCCCACCCCGCCCCAAACCCTTCTGGGAGAAGAGGGCTGGGGAGGCGGGACGGCTAGGGGCCCGGAGGCGAGGATGGAGCCCGCGAGGTCAGGGTCACAGAGCGGATGCCCTGGAGAGGCGGGGGTCCCCTGCTGGGTCAAACAAGGGTGTGTGTGTGTGTGTGTGTGTGTGTGTGTGTGTCAAACAAGGGTGTGTGTGTGTGTGTGTGTGTGTGTGTGTGTGGTGTGGTGTGTGTGTGTGGTGTGGTGTGGTGTGTGTGTGTGTGTGTGTGTGGTGTGTGGTGTGTGTGTGTGTGTGTGTGTGTGTGGTGTGTGTGTGTGTGTGTGTGTGTGTGTGTGTGCGGGGTGGGGGGTTACGTCAGCGTGTGACCACGTCACGGCCAGCGCTGCCCACCGCAGCCGGGTGCGGGCTGCGAGCCGCAGGAGCCTCGGCGGGGCCTGCGGGGGGCGGGGGGCGCTGCGGCCCGGCCTTGACCCCGGCCTGCGCGGGGCGCGGCCCTTACCTGGTTCCTGCGGTACCATGCGCCCGACAGCGAGCCGTTGCCCGCGCCCGGCTCCCAGTACGTGAAGTTCCGGGACAGCTCGTCCAGGGCGGCCGAGGCGTCGTCCCCGGGGCCCGCCATGGGGCCTCGCTCTCCGGCGCTCGGCTCGAGCTGCGGCCGCCTCCCCGCCCGGCCGCTCCGCCAGCCGCCGCGCCGCCGCCACTTCCTGCTGGGTGCGGGGCGAGCCGGGCGCCCGGGGCCACCTGGCTCCCGCCCCCGTGCGGCGCAGGTGCGGCGCCCTGCCCCGGCCCTGCCCGCCCTGCGCGGCCTCCCGCCTCCGCGGCCCCGCGCCCGCACCTGTCGGAGCGAGAATCGGGTTCATCATCTCCAGGGCCTTTCCCCATCCATCATGTCCGACCGAATGCGGGACAGGAGCCACTAGGCTAACCCGGTCCTTACGAGGCAACTCCAATTCCCCACCACAAGCATGAGGATCTCATTTATAGATTTAAAATTATTTGCATATGGAAAAGTCATGAGTTCCCCAAAATATGGTGAGCACTATGAGAATGAAGATCCCAACAGTTACACCTCCAGTGCCCACACTGGAGTGGTTCTTAGTAGCTATCCCTGGAATGAAGGAAGAAATACCCGGTGGTAGCTGAAGGACCCCAATGGGTATTTGGTGACTGGATGGGTTTCCTTCAGATAGGACAGAAGGAATCGCTGAAAAGTTGCCAGGGATTGTATATAAAATTTTAGGTCGGGAGAGAAATGTTAGGAGTGACCTTAAGACCTCTAACCAGATATTCTGGTTTGACCTGTTTTCAAATTCTGTGCCTCTCTAAATGATCTGAGAGGTATCTCTCACTTTGGGAATTCTATGTGGTTGCCTGAAGCACTGGGACTTGCAATTCTTTTGTCTGCACAAGGCTGAGATTCTTCATAAATAATGTGCTTTGAACTTCTATGAGTTCATGAACAAGAGGCCTTTAAGAAAAGAGAGTTTCTGCCTAGCAGGGTACAAGGGAGAAGGCTATGACTGTTTCTTGGGGCGGAAATGTGCAAATGAGAGAAGGAAGCAAGAAGTCATTTTAGGTACAGAAGAAAGAAGTCATCTCAGAAATTGTGTAGTTTCTTGCTTGAGCAACCAAAATGTTCAGTGAATATTTAAAAAATTAAGAGGCTGATTTATTTCAAATAAATAGCTGAAGGAAAAAGTATCCGTTTGCTATATTATCTGAAACATCACATTATTTTGTATTATTGACTACTAAATGCTTCTTTCTCTTAATGTTCTTTAGAGTGCAAATAACAGAATACCCAACTAAAAGTAAAGTAAGCAATAAGCATCTGCCGTCTCATAGAGACGGGAATGCCTCTCTATGTGGTTCTATGCCATCATGTCCATTTTTCTGTTCTGCCATGTCTGAGATGTTGGCCTAGTTCTGTTGGAAAGGAGAACTTTCCAGAATCCCCCAAGCTGCCATCTCCCTCAGATCCCATTGGCTGGGACTGGGTCACATGCAGTTTACCTGCAAGGGAGACTGGGAAAGTGATTCTGGGGCCTTTCCAGACTTGAGAGTGGGAGGGGAACTCAGTCAGCCAGAAGGAACAAGAATAGGGTGGGGGTGGCAGAGGGGAACCAGCAAAACCTGGCAGCACAATCACTCTATCACTCTTCAGTATTTTCTATCAGCCAGATTGTGAGTGGTTATGCAGTCTCTAACAAGCAAAATACTAAACACATCGTGTTACTTTCCTGTTTAAAATGCCCCAATCCTCCCTATTGACCCTATAAAGTTCACACATTTTAAACCTGGCATATGAGACCCTTTATGATCCAATTCCCATACTCTGTTATGCTCAACTCATTCTCACTTTATTGTTTAACTTAAAACATCATTTTTTTCCATTTCTCTATATCTGTTTAAAACTTCTAATTTTGGAGGAAGACAGTACTTGGTGCAGAAAAGATGTGACGTGTAGCCTATGTCATGTTGAACAGATTCCAAGATACCACTGGGATTAGTGCTGCTGTCCTACTGGGTTAGGATGAAGAATTCATGAACAGAGTTCCTTCCTACACAGTTCACAAGGAGGTGGCAGGAATGCCGGTGAACTAGTTTGGTCCCAGTAGTGTAGGTGTTTCTGCAGAGACTGTTCTGTGCTTCTAATGGCCTCTGCCTCTTGCAGGGCTTCTTCCAGGGACATCCTGGTCACTTCACAGGATACTGAAAGTGTGTGATTAACCGTTTGTTCCCAGTGCCACAACCTGGAGGTCTGTCTTCCTCAGTTAATCCAAAGAATTCTGCTCTGGTGCCACACCATTTGAAGCTGGTTTCCCCATGAACTTGGAGAGCAGGGTTACCTTTTGCCCACCTTACTGAGAATCATCTACTTGTAGCATCAATGAAACTTTTAAAAAATGTCATTTACCCTGTAGTTTATGCTAATTAAAAACAATGATGTGAAAGAATTTCACCTTTAGCAAGAATCAGTCAACACTAGTTGTGTTACAGGAAGCATTTCACAAATGATGAGTGTGTAAAGTCCTAAGGTAAAGATTATCTCAGGTGGCTCACATCATATACAAAAGCCAATTTAATGAGAAAGGCAAGCCTTAAATCTTTCAGAATAACATATGAGGTAATCTGTACAAAAGGCAATTGTCAAAGTGCAAATAATGAAGGCAGACTGTTCGTTCTCAAATCCTGACTCCATTGCTTATTTCCTGTGTGACTTTGATTTAGTTGCTTAATCTCTCTGAGCCTTTCATGCCTCTATCTGTAAAAAGTATATAACGAGTATCTGAAATGTAGAAAGTGGTCAGTATGTGCTGGCTGTCACCACTTATAACTTTACAATAGGAAAGGATTCCTTAAACAAATAAAAAAAACTGAGGAAAAGATTGATAAATGCAATTACAATGAAGTTAAGAACTTTTATACATCAATAGATACCATAAAGTGTGAAAAGTCACAAACTGAGAATCTTTGTCACACATACGACTGACAAGGATTTGCATCCAGAATATATAACTTCTACAGGTCAGTAGGAAAAACAAAAACAAAAAAACAGACAACACAAAGGAAAAAATAAGGAAAGACAAAAAACAGGCATTTTTTTCATAAGAAAAAAATATGAGCTAGGTATGTTAGTTCACACCTGCAATCCTACCTACCGACTCTCTACTTGGGAGTCAGAGATGGAGAGGATCACAGTTTGAGGCCAGCCCAGCAAAAAATTCACAAGACTCCCATCTCAACCAATAAAAAAAGCTGGTAGTGGTGGCATGGCATATTTGCCATCACAACTCTGCAGGAAGTGTAAATAGAATGACTGAGGTACAGGCTAGCCAGGGCATGAAATGTGAAAACCTATTAAAAAAAAAAAAGAAATAAAAAAAAACTAGGGGTGTGGCTGAAGTGATAGAGTGCCTACCCGGTAAGTAAGTGCAGGGCCCTGAGTTGATACCCCTGTACTGCCTCTGTGTGTGTGTGTGTGTGTGCATTATACATATATGTATATATATATATATAAATGGCTAATAAGCATATAAAATAATTGTATCTCACCAGTAGCCAGAAAAACATGCAAATTCAACCCCCCAGTGAGAGCCATTTTCCACCTGCTGATTGACAAAAATAAATTTTTTGAAGTTTGCATACCAAGGATAGTGAGGATATGGAGGAACATAAATGTTATCCGATGCTGATGCTATCAACATTGGAATGTGAGTGTACTGAGCTAGAATGAAGATTATGTGTGAATTTCCCTCTTTGGCAAATCCACAGAAACTCCTGTACATAGACAGTAGGAAAGTTGTGCACGAATAACACTTTTGTAATAGCAAAAAAAAACCCAAAAAGTGGAAACAGCTCATGTCTGTTAACGGGACAAATGAATTTTGATACATTTACACAATGAACTGCTGTACAGTAAGAAAACTGCCAGACCCTCAGCTACTCAGCATGTCCACATGCATAAATCCACAAACACCACCTAGCGATTAGAAAAAGAAATAAATCTATAGAAGATCATATACAGCATTATTCAAAAGCATGCAAAATTAGGTAATACATTGCTTAGGAGTGTACACATGGAAATAACTGGAAAAGCAAGGATGATAAACATAAACTTTGGGTAGTGGTATTGGTGGTAGGCTACATGGAAACTCATTATTATTCCAATAGATATGCATGTATGTCACATATGCTCTTTTGTCACTATTTTTCATAACAACTGATTCAGAAAAAATACAAGGTTTTGTGGTCAGAAGCTCTAGATTGGGAGACCTGGATTTAAGTGCCATGTTCTGATCCGTATCAGCTCTATGAGTTTGGGCAAATTCTCTGAGATTCAGTTTCCTAATTCATAAGCAGTATTTATCTCCAAGGATGTTGAGAACATTAAGGAATAGATAATGTGAACAGCTTGCAACTTAGTTCAATTCACCAAACATTTACCTCGTGCCAGGAGCCCTGGACAGGAGGTTATGCACGGGCCCTGTCCCCCCAGAGCTTGTGCTGTACTGAGTAATAGAGAGACAAACAAGTAGACTCAAGGTTACACATGAGGTTCAGCACCAGAGTGGGAGAGGACAAAGAAGATGCAGTCAGCTCAGGTTGGTAAGGCTGGAGCAGCTGGGACGGCTACCTGGAAGGGGCAATGGCTGTGGTAAATCCTGAGATGAGTGAGCTAAAGCAAGAAGGGAGGTAGGGTATGAACAGGATGAGCTTAAGCCAAGGCACAGAGGCAAGAGACAGCAACGTCTGTGTGCATTCACATAAAGAAAGTCCATAGCAGTCTTGGGTGAGACAAGATAGAGGAGTCCCTCAGTGTCCACAGGGGATTGTTCCAGATAGTATTTGCATATAATCTATACATACATGCATATATTTTAAGTCACTTATATATTACTCAGAATACCTAATACAATGTGCTATATAAATAGTTGTTTTACTGTAGTGTTTAGGTAATAATGACAAAAAAATCATCTGTAAATACTCCATATATGCACATATTTTCTCCAAATATTTGCACTCCACACTTGGTTGGATTTCAGGATGAGGAACCTTCAGGAAGCAAATGCTGAGTGTATACCCTAAAATAGAGGTAAAGAGGTCAACAAGGCCAGGAAATTGAGGGTCTTACATGTTG